AATATGTATTTAGTGAACTATTCTATTCTATAAGTAAAACACAAATCTAAAATGAAATATTTCTTTGTAACTGACTCTCAAACTATAATAGAATATTACTCAAACAACAACACGTGGAAATCGCCAATTATCATGCAAATATTTTGACAAAGCCTACAATCATTCGAAAATTCGAAAAAATACTTGAACATGAACGCATAAACCATTAATTAGTAGACCATTTTAGTCAATCAATCTTATGTTTTGTTGTTCATATTTATTAAATGAATGTTAGTAAATGCTTGTTGGATTTTTCAAGAGAGTTTTACATTACAAACTGAAAAATAATTCAAATCACAATAGAATAAGACAACTATTTTATCGTATCATTGAACTCAAGACTTTGGATTAAGTTTGATCGAGATTACTATTGATTTTGGAAATCTCTCTACATAAGTTTTAACTAAACAATTATCAGATATTGCATAGTTTCAGTGTTTTTTCAAATTCATTTGATATTTTGTTGATAAAATGTAATTTTGGGGCAGAGTTTAGGAGGTTTGAGTTTTTACACATTTGAAACGGTGTTAATGTCTAACCATAGATTAATCAGAGTTAGACATTAACACCGTTGGATGCCGGCCCAGTGGTCCGATGGTAAGGCGTTCGCCTACAATGCCGAAGGTCCCGGGTTCGAATCCTGTGAGGAGCCGGAGTAGTGGATGCATCACTGCTGATGAGTCACATACCAAGACGAAACGGCCGTCAAGTGCTTCCAGGTTTCTAATGGTGGTGGTCTAACAATGATTGATTGATGATTTCAAATGATAAAATGTAAGTTTGCCTTGTAAATTCTGACAACACAAATATGTCCATTACATACATATCACAATTTTGATATGAAAAAAAAGGCATCAATTACTTTTTATCATCATCAATAAGTATCAATCTCTCTCTCTTTCTCACTTTCACACGCACTCTCTCTCTCTCTCTCTCTGTGGTTCTGTTTTATTGAATGAATGACTCATGTCAAATTGTGATGTTTCTTTAGTGGATGTAGCTGTTGTTCATTCACAACTACTATGGATGAAATGATTTTCGATAGTTCAATGTGTCTGTTTGTTTCATTTGTAACTATCATAATTCATTGTTTTTTTTTCTTTTAAAATGTAATTAATCATAAAAATGAAATTGAATAAATATTGTAATTACTTTCTTCTCCTTCTTCTTCTGTTGGTAATTATTTTTTTCTCTTTTTTTTGTTATTCTTAAATTATTTTCAAAGTTCAAGTTGTGTGTGTGAGAGAGAGAAATACTTTTAAGTTTAAGATTAAAAAAATAAATTTTCCACATAAATTTTAAATGTTATTCACTCATTCACTCATTTATTCAATCTTTATTTATTGAATTATATTTTGATTTGTTATTATTAAACAATAAAATAGTGAAATGAATCATCATTTTCTATATTGAATAATAATTATTGAAGAAGATAATAAATTAATTTTCTTATTTTTCGCTTTGAATACATTGAATTTTATTATATTCAATGAAATAAATACAGTAAAGAAACTTGTATACACACACACACACACTCTATATATATATACATAGAGAGATAGAGGAATGGAATCATTCGTTTTCTTTTATACCTAGACTGATATATATTTCGATGTGTCAATGTTATATTTATTTGGTAGAATTTCTTTCAGCATATCATAATTGAAACAATATTGTTTAGCATCTCAGTTTTTTTATGTGAACTCTTGATAAATCTTACAGACTTAAACATATAATAATAATAATAAACAAGTTATACGATACTTCTTAGTGGTATTCCATCAGCTAATGTCATTTCACAATGGATGAAGTATAAATTTCGAAATAAAAATGAGAATTAGTCTGCTTTATTTTTTAATTTTATTTTTTAAATAAATAAATGTTTACTTATAAACAAAGTGTGAAATAAAGTAATGATACTTAGGAAAATTACTTATTGTTGATTAATTAATTTCATGTACATGGTAAATTTATTAGAAAATTAAGTTTTATAAAATTGTGGTGTGTGCTACTTATACGAACGATATAAGTAGCATGAGAAGGGATGTGAAAGAAGAAATCGCACGGTCAAAAGAGGAAAACGAAAAAGCAAATGGAGCAAAAGCAAGAAGTAAATGGAGTACCAACAGGAAGGAAAGGAAACAACGACAGGAATGGAAGAAGGATGGAGTGTTGGAAGTCACGACTCAAAGATGGTGTGCAAATAGAGTGTTCAATGTAATGTTTTCGTTTTTAATTGACTTAGAGTGTAAATTTAGGATGTAAAATGACTTGCATTGCTTTCAAATAATTTATTCATGTATTCAATTAGGCTATTATTCATTGAATAAAAATTTAACTACAATATACAATTTAATTTATTTTCAAAACCAATTACTAATAAATAAATAAAAATATTTTAAAGAAAATACAAAATAAAAACGAGTTGAAATTGTTGTGTTGAATAATTCTATTTATTTATTTAATCAGCAATGGAATTTTTAATTTATTAAGTTATTACCACTAAAGACAAAGAGAGAAATCAACTTGCACATAATGTATAAGTGAATTGAGTCGGATGTAGCTTTAATTATCATGACATTTGATTTATGTTGCTTTTTTGAAATGCCCTTAAAAGTCTAAACAGATATAGTAGAGAGAGAGAGAGAGAGCGCAGTAAAAAGTAGTGCAATTTGTTTTTTTTCGATACAACTTGTACACTTGTTTATGGACAGGAAAATGATAACTTTTGTAAATGATGATGCATGCATGCATGCATGCATGACCTTTAAAAATAATCACGAACAATTAAACAATCAAATAACACGATTATGTATGTAATTAAAAATGTTTGCATAAATATAAAATTTTAAACCAACCCTACAATGTAAGTGTACATAAATGTGTAGTAGTTTTATGTAGAAAGAGATAATTTATGATGAAAATATAAAAATAAAACTCAACAATATGATGGCCTTAACAACTATCAGTATCGATTTATATCACTCATATTTGATGAAGCTGAATAGTAAGTAGTATCACAGCCTATTCTAGTATACCTCTCATCATCTTTTCAATTCCTGTGATTGAAAAATTTGGCGAGCATCATCAATCAATGCCACAATATCTCTTTGTGGTACACTATTCATCTCTCAGATTATTTAAGTGATTATACAGTTTGTGTGTACAATATTGTAAACTCATAGAAAAAAACAACAAGATTTCCAACATGTTGATCAGCATTTTCTGTTGTGCAGTTCAACTTACAATATTTGAGTAATCTTCTTTTTTTGCGGTTCATAAACACATACATTTTTTTAAGATTACAATATTCAATGAAACAATCATCTATTATCATCTTTGAGAACTTTAAATAACTGTTAATTGATAGCAACCTTAGTTTATATATTCAATTGAGAATATGTAGGTAAACTTCAGATGTGAATAAATATTTAACAATAGTTCAAAATTAGCTATTACTCTCTTTTCGAGTCAGACAGACAGACAGAGAGATACAATGCAGAACATCGTACATAAGTACATCAGTTCAGGTTGCCATACAACATCAGCACAGAGATGCAACTGTCAGTTCAAATCTAAGAGTGATAGCAATAATAGAAGAATTAGCAGTAATGGAGAAGATTAGGGAGCAAAGATATGATTCGAAAAGTATAATTCAGTGAGATAAATTTAGAAGTAGAAAGATAGAGATTATGACGAATTCAGAAGGTTAGAATTAAAAAGCACACAAAGAGTGGATGCACCTGCGCCATTGCAAACGATTCTGAGTCATGTCGTTCAAGGTCTCTAACCATCGGTGACTTTCGTCTCGCGGAACCCAACCAGGTAGTCTACATCTACCAACAGGACTCAGTCCACTTGTCAGTGACTTCATGGATTTTTGCCATCTTTTGGTTTGGCGGCCCCTAACTTTCCTCCAACTTGCTCCCTACACCACAAAACATAGCTCGTCGAGGCAGTCAGTGGTTAGGCATACGTAACACATGTCCCAACCACCTCAACTGATGAAGATTCATTACTTCATCTATTGATTTGCCATCCTTACTGAGAACTCGTTTCCTAACGATACCATTGCTTACTCGGTCGTCCCAGGATACATGAGCAATGCTTCGGATACACCTATGATCGAAGACTAGTAACCTACGAATGTCCTCTACTCTTAACGGCCATGACTTTTCGAGTCAGTATCTTATTGTACTGGTAGAAAGAATATGACCGGACAATTATAGTTTATTCTGACTGAATATATATTTTTTCTAGAAATCTTTTCAATATCTATCACTTTCTTGATTGAATGTCAAAGTCTTTAACAATGAGGTTTTGCAAGACTTAACCAGCAAATGTAGAATCCTCAGGATTATTATGTTTACTTAGATGAAATCTAGGGTCAAGTAAAATGTTTTGCCTCTTTGATCAATGAATTATTCTGGTTTATACAGTGTTGGCAAACAATTTATTTTTAAGTTTCAATCTATTCGAATAAGTTATTACTGATTCAAAGAAAAGTAATCTAAACAGTAACAATCAGGCCACGATAATTGAAGATAAAATTTCCACTTCAGCTTAAAGACCTCTAATAAGTTACAATCATTCCATTCCAGTTTAGACATCCTTAATGGAATAAATTCACATTATGTTTCATTATCAGTTTAAAGCGAAGACATTCAACTAATTCGGTTTGATGGTTTTCATTTTCATCTGTTCTTATTACAGATGAATGGATTTTTGTTGCAAAGTGATTTATTAATAAGTAGTGGGTGAAATTATGAAACTATATTTTTGTATTTATGGTGAACGGTGTTCTTGCAAAGTACCAGATCATAGGATAGAACAGATCTATGCTATCACCCCAAGGTTTTTAATGCTTTTTCAGTCAATGACTTTTTGAGGATTGATTTGAAGTAGTTAACAAATATGTAGAAATGCGAATGTTACGACAATTACAATACTAATGTAAATACCTGACAAATTTGGCTCTTGTTCGATCTAGCCGAGGTGGCAGTTCAGGTTGAGGAGCAGTTTGAGGTCGTCGATGAGACAAAGCTGTCTCCACATTAGAGGAACACGACGATGAAGTATGATGGTGGGGATGATGTTGATCATTTACTCGACAGGATGAATCTAATTTACAACTTTCTATACTATCAATGGAACTAGTCCTTGAGGTTTCTGTAATATACGAAGTACTTTGATCACATGTTCCTGCACTTTCAGTCTCTCTTCTAGATACAGGGATAATATCTTGTGTTATTGATGACAATACATTGGAATGATAGGTGCTCGGATTCATAATAGCACGTAATTGTGGAAAGTTACTTGTCCTATCATGACGAATAGGCTGAGGAATGATTAGACGAGTGTTTGGTATTTCAACATTGACTAGTTTTTCTGAAAACCTAAATATATCCGATCGGTTTTCTTCAGTTTTCAATGTGTTTGAGTCCCTTCTATGTTTACCATAGGACTGGACTATTGATTGACGATGATTTCGATACTTTTCAATCCAAAATTCAGCCTGGAAAAAAAGTATATAATTACAAATAAGTTCAAAATATTCATAGAAATTTTTGATAATTATGTGGTAACAATTTAATGTGCCATTATGAATTACAAAGTAATAGAACAGAGTATCATCCTAGTTTGAAGCCTCAATCTTTCGGAGATCATTAGTTTCCTGAGAATGGCAGATACACATTGCTGAAAAGTTTCAACTATCATTATATTAAATCAAAGCGAATTCAGCAAAGACATTTTTTTGACGGAATCACTTACTCAAGTCCAGATAGAAAATTTTCTTCGCTGAATTCTTTCTTCTTTTATTTAATGACAAAATGTAGGTCTAGCAGTTCCTTTTAAGTGGTAAAACATTATCGAGTAACACACCAGTATCATTTTTACATTACTCAGATGAGAATATCAAATAGTATTCATATTTTAGTCCTGTTATCATCACTAATAAATTATCACAATTTAACAGCATTCAAATCGAAACGTATTAGAACTTATGATTTTTAGATGTTGAGGATTGAAAATAATGTCATCAGTTCATAATCCAAAAAATCAAAGTCGCTATCAATGATAGAAACCCAGTGAGTTTTCATCGCAATTCACTAGTTTTTCATTTAATTATTTCCTGAAATATTTCATGACTGAAATTACTGTTTTTACCGATTAATAAATTATTGCTTTACATTGAGAAGCATTGACTAACTAGTAGTATGCATAATCCATACTTGTAGAAAATAATTCTTTGCTGACAAAAAAAAACTGTTTATTTTTATTGACAAGTGTAACATGAAATGATTTATATATTCGATACTTGAAAAAATGAAACTTTATAAAATGATGAATGATGAAAATAGTAATTTTCGCTTACAATCTATCATCTATTCAATAAGATGACTAACTTACTTTTGAACTTGGTAAAGGCATTGCTGTTAAATGTAAATCATCACTTGGTATTTTCAATACATGTAACATAACAAATAAAAGATGAATACATGGTTCCGTTGATTTCATAGTGATTTCTGTTTCATGCATAATTTCATGTTGACAATTACATAATTGTGGACCAATAACTACACGAAATCTTTGTCGTCGTTGACAATGTGAATATTTTGCTTGACAATCATTTGTATTGATACTAGACGCAGTCAAATGATCATGATGTTCATTTTCTTGATAATTATTGTCATTTTTATCACGATATGTAATTGGTTCATTTTTTTGTATAATAATAAATGAATTTGGAGCAGGTTGATAAAGTACAATGAAATTTGCATCCAATGCTTGTTTAATTGGAAGTTTATATTTATTAGATAAAAAACAAATTTTAGTCATTGGTAGTAGAATAGAAGAGAATAGAAGAGATGATGAACGAGTCAAATGTTTTCTCTCGCTTTTTTTTCTCTAAACTTTCTCTTTTTAATTACTTTTCACTTTTGTTGTTTAAATGTTTGATTAATTGATTGATAAAATCATTAGTAGGAAAACACAATGATACACCTATATGAACATTATCTAAAGAATAGATAAAGATAACATAAATTACTCTTAATTTAATATGATAATCAATAATATATATCAATAAATGTAGCGTTACATATACTGATTACAAGATTTAGCTATAAAAAATAAGAAGTGCAGTATAAAATTAACACTCAAATTCTTATGCTGTAGGATGATCACTGTTGCCTGAATGCATATCTATTTGAGAAATATATTTAGAACAACTGAGACTGATTAAAATACCTCATATTTACAGATTTAGTCAGTTTACGAAAGAAAAACGATTTATTATGGGATGGATCATCAGACAGTGATCATTAACGTAGGTCGTGACAAAGATGGATAATGTTCCAAGTTGACATACAATATTAACATAACGAGATATAACTAACAAGATGAATTAAAAGATACTAAAATAATGAAGTAACAAAAAAAACTAACCACCAATCAACTACTTCCCGAAAATAGTTCAGCAATTGACAATATGAATGTGAAAACTGATTTTGATATACTGGAGAACATCATGAAATACGAAATACATATTCATTATTTTATAATATAGACTTTTAAAAAATAGGACTGGTGAGTAGACGAATTACCGCATACTAGTGTATGAGATTTTTAAATTTCTGAAATGTTAGATCGTAATATCTAAATTCACAAGACTTTTCTTCATGAAGTAACCGTAAATTTGCTCAAATTATCAATCCCACCTACAGTTAAACTTTATTCTATAAGTCATATGATATTTAACTATGTTCGTCAATAAACTGAAACCAGTTTTCACACCATATAAATGTCAGTAAGTCAGTTACAGCGTATAACTTTGTACGTACGTGAATCAGTCCAAGTTGTCATACCACCCATATAAATGAGAATAAGGACAATAATTTATCGTAGAATCTGGTATGTGAATAAACCAATAGAAGACAAACATCTACATTGTGTCAGTCAGTCAGTTACAACGTAGAACTTCGTATGTAAGTATATCAGCTCAGGTTGTCATATCGTATTAGCACAGAGACTCAACTGTCAGTTCAAATCCCATAGTGGTAAAGATAGTGGAAGTATTAGCGGTGATGGAGAAGATTAAGGTTCGAAGATATTATTCAGTAAGCATAATTGAGTGAGATAACTTTAGAAAGAGAAAGATAGAGGTACATGTATTGTTGAGATTCAATAGCGTATATTTCACATATTTTGTTGTGAAAAGTCAATAAAGTGCACGTAACCAGCTTATGTATGATTCTCGAAATAATGGAAAGAAGTTTGGAAAACACATATCTAGGCCAAGGATGAGTCAGTCAAGATCTTACAGTTTGTCCGTTATTTACTTTCTTTTGTTTGGCTTGGACTTTAAAAACGTTTCTTTCGTTTAAGTCTTCTGCATCTTGTTCACGGTAGTTCGGCACACTAGACAAGAAACTGTTAATTCAAATTTTATAGCCAATATTAACAAAGTTGTTTCTTTAACTAAAATACCGATAGAAATATAACAAAAATGCAGGAATTCTGTTCAGATGTCGGAAAAACTAGGTTATCCAGGCTACTGATGTACTTACGAATCTATTCTGGTGCATGTGCTAACGGATTTAGACTGGTATTTACTGGCAGTTAAACTCTTTTGTATAAGGAAAGGATAAGTTTTCGCATTTGATCTTTAAGTGCATCCATCAGTTCATCTGCTCCCGCAGAGCAACGTACATTGACCTTAAACCGCTTTCAGCATGTATATTGAAATACATCTCACTTTGTTTTCACAGAACGTGACTTGTTGTCACTTTTTATAATTTGTATTTATTTTTTACATTCTCTCATTTTGCTTCAATCTAAATTGTATCCCACACAGTCTTCTTTCCCCCTCCCTCTACCATTATTTTCAGCTTTGAGAATTAAATAGAAACTCTTTAGGTTATTGTATTTAGTTTATTTCAAATTTGATCAACAGATATATTTGAAAGAAATGTTTTAGCAAGAAGACACTCATGTTAGATCAGTGCTGCGATTTATGCATGAATACCAATTATTAAGAAACTCTAAAGAGCTTCTCAAAAATCCTTGACTACACTTGTGCATAGCCATTTTAAATGGGTACGAAACTAGAGTCTAGAAGTAGCGGGCTGAAATTCTCTTGATCCGTTGAGTAACATGAATGTGTTTACTGATTTGCTCCTTTAGTGAGAATTTCAAAGTTGAATAGGCTATTAATAGGTAATTGTCAGTAATGGGTTGTGGAAATTGTTGAATTTCATTAAAATCATAAATCGATCTAAGTTAAACATTTTTTGCGAGCCTGGAATTATTGGAAGGTAAGCTTTAACACTACTGATTGTTGGGCATATACAATCCCTTGATTTATTTGATGAGCCTAACGTGTATTGATATGATCCGTAGGGAATTATCCATCTTAATAGTATGTCTAAGCTATTGGCGCCGCTGTTGTGATGTCAAATTAGTAATAGTTTGTAATGCATTTTATGACTGAAATGCAAATGCAAAAAATAAATTTTTTAGTCGGCATACATTTTGTATAAGAACTGGAAATTTTAATATATGTTGACCTTAATTTTAAATCTCACTTAAATTGTCATATTATTCATCGATTAGTATGTGTTTTTTTTACGCACCAATAATTGTGATAACAATTGTGATAGTCATAATATATAACAGTCAAACAAATTGTTTTATTTAATTGTACCAAACCGAATGAGTCATTATTCCATACAAAGAAGGAACATTTTTGGATATGTATGCGAAAAAAAAACATTATCTATTTGCAATAATAACTAACATGATTAATTTAACTGGAAACTCTTTGAATGTTATGATTATTATTATTTTTTCATTTTATTAACGAACAAAATTAGTTCTGTTATTTTAAATACAATTTACAATTAAGTGTAGCAGTATGTGTATCCTATTCGTGCATAATTTTGTTTGTATTCAACAAATAAATTGATTTAAAGTAGAATGACGGAGACAATATGGTGATGAGGTTAAGTTCTATGTCTATATATAACTAATAACTACCTGATGAAGGGTTGTAAATTTTAATTTACTTGGCTAATGTCCGAAAAGTAAGGCGTAGAAGTAATGATTACAGATTGCGTAACATAGCTTAAAATTCATCAGAATACGTTAAATAATTTTACTCTACTTTATTAATATAAGCAGTATATTTTTCGCGTTTTAAGAAAAACAAAACAAAACATTATGCTATGTTATATTACATCTATTCCAGCAATAACAGTTATTGATAGTTTGAATTGATGAGTAGACGTTTAGATGTTCCGAATTATTTTTCATCTGAGGATGCAATATTTCAAATATTTTGCCTGTAGATTACGTTGTGACAGTTTGGCTGAACCTAAAGAATGAATTTTCGATAACATGTTTTACATAGCACATTGATGGCTTAGTAACGTAGTCGCTAAGACCATTGTTTCTAAGGTTCGAGCTCTACTTCACCTTATTTTGTTCAGGAAGTTTGATAGTAGTATTAATTCTTATACCGAAACTGTGCCCCGGAAGATTGGTTACTAGAAGACGTTTTTTCTAAATTACTCATACCTCATATTTACATAAATAGTTCCAATAAAATCCCATCTACTGGAAATCGATAAAAATTTTTTTAAGTCCCATTTTGTGTTAGTGAACTACAAGTCTGATAAGTTGAAGCCACTTTAAAAAGCGACATTAGTGGTTGATTATTAAGAGACATGAATATGGGGATTGCATTAATTGATCAGATGAATTAATTATGTGAGCTTAGGCCATTTTTCATTGCTAAAACATGCGTTGAAACATTTATCATGGCTCTTAGAGGTGAGTTCAGTTATAACTCACATACATTTGAGTTTCCATACATTTAATTTCATCGAGCCTTTTTGATTAACTTATTTAACAGACAGTTATTAGTATAGCAACAACTTATCTGTATCATTGTCGCGTTTGTATAAGCAGACACAAATGACCATGGCTTAACGCCTACGTATATATTCATTCTACTCTATTTAATGCTAGTCTCTTAAATAATTCGATGGCTCCTTTATTTTCCCATATATATATATATATATAATACATGTAAATCTTGTTCATTCGCTCGCTCTTCGGCAGTGCAAGCCATTTTCTCTTCGTATGCCGGTGGTTTTGTGTGTGGTGCGATATTAGAAACGAAGTATGTGAATATATCGAATACCTACAGCCACAGAATCGGTGAGCCCAACATCGAGTATAACATAGCCACCACTAGCGCATACTGATATCAGTCCCAATGCACTTTCTCTAAATTTCATGCAGTGATAATATTAGCACTGTAAGATTTTAGCCTTCATTGTCTTTTACTTCGGTTAACTAAATCAAAGTTTGGGTGGATCGAATACATTCGTTTATTTAGTAAAACCTAGTCCTTTTGATGCCTGACCGTAGTTACTACCTTGACGTGGTAATGAGGCTTGCCTATCGCAATGACTAAACTGAGCTACATTGGCTGGAACATATGTTCCTGAAAGTTCTACCACGACAGGGACGTCGATTCGAGAACAGTGAGACTAAAACAAACAACTGAGAGTCTGAGGGCAAAGTCGTACTGCTGACTGTAGAGAGCTGTGATGGCAGTAGGGTGTTTCCCTTGGACAGCAAGCGTCTGAAGCGATGCTGCCATTTCAGAAGAAGGAAGAGGTTAGAAAAGGTTTGCGATGGCGCCGGTGCATTTATTCTCTCTGTTCTCTCAAATCCTAATTTTCTGGATTCGTCAACACCTCTAGTTTTGTCTTTCTAAACTTTTATCACTGAATTATACTTCTTGAATACTATGTTGGAACCCTTATCTC